GCCTGACTCTGAACCAGGGCGAGAGGGGAGGTGGCCATAAGCACAGTAGAACAGGGAAGTTTTCAGGCGGGACTTGAGAGAGGGGGCAGGGCAAAGGGATTGAGGGAGAGTGTTCCAGAGTTTTGGGGCATAGTGGCTGATCCAGGTGGGAGGTGACAAACATGTGCACGAGGGTTTTGACTGCATTTGGGGTAAGGTACGGTCGGAGGTGGGAATGTGGCGGAGGTGGAAGAAAGCAGTCCTGGTCAGGGACATGATGTAGGGGAGGAAGGACAGTTGGGGGTCGAACCGGATGCCTAGGTTGCGCACTGTTCCGGTTAGTCTGAGGGAGAGCCCAGGGAGATTGAGGAGTTTAGATCTGCTGGAGTGAAGGAGTATGGCTTCCGTTTTGTCCATATTTCAGCTGCAGGAAGTTCACTCATCCAGGCCTTGAAAGAGGAGAGAGAGGAGCAAGGCGGAGGGATTGAGGGATAGTGTTCCAGGGTTTTGGGGCATAGTGGCTGAAAGCATGACCTCCATTGGTGGGGAGCCAGTGGAGCATCTCATGACTTAGACTGACTCACTAACTTAGAAATTGATTGTGAGCTCACAACTTGTGGATAAAACTGTTTAAAACTTACAAATCTTTAGTGATTTTTAACAAGGAGAAGAACTGATTTCTGCCCCCCCTCTTCCAAACAGAAATGATTCTGTAGTGCCAACTTACAGCAAAAGCATTATTTGTTGCATCAATTAATTCCTCCAGAAAGAAGTATAGGGTCATAGATGTCCAGGATAGGTATACACTTCAATGCTTAACAGGACATATAGTATGACTACTGGTGGCATGGGGTGTTGATTGTGCAGGGAATGCTCCGAGATGCCCCTCTGGGGGTGACGTGAAGAAGCCTTATAAATGTAAATTATAGTTGTTATTTTGTTTATTGCGGTGAATAGTGTAGAAGGATAAATATTCTAGAGTTTTTGCACTATTTGGAAATTGTGAGTATTGATGGAAAATTTAGATAGATTAGACATCTAAAAGATCAGGGTTGGCAAGGCAAATACATTATGGTATAATAATATAATAACAATAAGTATAAGAACTATCCACAACAACTGACCACAACAAATATATTTTAAGACAATTGTAGGCTGGAACTTCCTAAATGTATAAGAGCAGGCACAATCATGCGGATGACATGATGGATTAGCTATAAAGAGATTCTTGCTGTCTGATGATGACCTAAGTCAACCTGGCGCAGTGGTAGGACTCTCGTCTCAAAGTCAGAAAGTTGTTGATTCAAGCCCCATGTCGAGCCTTGGTATCACATGGTTTAAGCTGACACCGAGGTCCATCTGAAACAAAAACAGAAGTCGCTGGGAACACTCAGCAGGTCAGGCAGCATCTCTGGGAAGCATCTATCTAGACCGAGGTCTATCTGCCTGTTCAGGTGAATGTTAAAGATCCAATGGCACTATTCAAAAAGAGAAGGGAGTTTTTCCTAGTGTTACCAATCCCCCAAATAAATGGGGTCACTCACTTCGTGGCTGTTTGTGGGACGTTGCTGTGCACAATTGGCTGTGATGTTTCACCCACAAAATACACAGTCAATCCATTTTACAGTATATCCTGAGAAGCGCTTTGAGACGTCACAATGGAGTTATAAAGCGCTCCATCAAATGCAATTATTACTATTATGATAATAAATAATGGCATAATGTGTACAGTGAAGTTTTAAGGCAATGTAGTTTGGCATACTGATAATTCATACATTGCGGTTCATAATACCATCATCTCTGCTATTCAATTAAATTCCCATTTTCTAATCACTTCTTTCCACCCTTAGACACTTTATCTTTGAATTCTCAAGAATTGGAAATAAAGCCAGTCTGTTTGTAATTAGTAACTGGCTTGCAGACTTGTGAGTTTTTTCCTTTTAACATTTAGTATTCTAAACTGCAGTCTCGTGTGTGTGCTTATTTTTTTAAATTCGCTGTTCAAACCTCAAAACAGTAAACTTAATTATGTGTCCCTCATAACTAGAAGCTAGGTTATGCATTCAATTCAAATTGTTTCAGGATGTTTATACCCGGATTGGCTGTGTAACCAATCTTTGTTGATTTAGTGAAGGTATGCTCGGTGACTGAAGGCACAAACACAATAAACCACTGAGAATCAAAGTATATGTGCCACCTGCACTTCACTAACACCTCCTTGCCTCTGGATCCGATTACCTCAACTTTTCCAGCTGCTCACTCTACCTCATTGAGCTAGTGCACTTTCTTCGCGTTCTGTTCAACCCTCAGCTCCTTTTCCTTCCTTATGTCAGGTCCCTGACCAAGATTTGCTTTTCATCGTTTTCGTAACATTGACTACCTCCACTCCCGTTGTGCGCCCAGTGTAGCCGAAATCCTTATTCACATCTTCATTATCTCCAGGCTTAACTTTATTTAATGCCCTCCTCTCTGGCCTCCCCAGCCAAATCATCTACAAACTCCAGCTCATTTAAATGCTACCACTCTCATCCAAAACTTTGAATGCTCTCCTCCTCCCCTGGCTCACAGTGGATTGACGTTAAGGTTCTCACCCTCAGCTATAAATCCTTTCACACCCTGATACCTCTGTATCTCTATGATCTTCTCCTTCTGGTACTCGTTCCCTGAACTCTCAATTTTGCTCTTTGTTCTTTTATACAATACAAGATTCCATTTGTAAAGTGCCTTTCATGTCAGAAGCGTTCCCAAGGAAAGTCCCGACATAAGGAAGGAAAAGGAGCTTAGGGTTGAACAGAATACGAACAACAGTCAGGAATTAGGACCCGGGCGATGGGGGTTGGAATCAGGGAGGGTAGCGGGCAGAGAGGGTAAGAGGGTGGCTGAAGGCGCAGTCGAAGAGGAGGATCCTGAGGCGTGCCTTGAAGGAGGCAAGGGAAGGAGCAAGGCGAAGGGAATGTGGGATGGAGTTCCAGAGATTGGGGCAGAGAGGCTGAAGGGCTGACCGTTGATGATGGGCTGGGCCGGGTGGGGGACATGGAGCTGGCCGGAGGCTGCTGAGCGGAGGGAGCTGACAGGTTGATAAGGGGTTAGCAGATCAGAGAGGTAGGAGGGGGCAAGGCCATGGAGGGCCTTGAAGGCGAAGTGAGTATACCCTTGTATTCAAGTATTGACTTTTGGGGGCTGAAATGGCTGATTCTGGATATCAAGGTTAGTATTACTTCCTGTTTTGTTGTGGGAAGCAGGAAATTGTATCATTGGTGACCTAATGATCTGAGTATGGGCATTGGAAAACTCTGCATTGTTGCAAATGAGATTTTATAGATTCTAATCACAGAGCTCCACTGTGGTACTGAATTGTAGACGTTCAATATAGTTATGGTAACTGCAGCAGTATTTTTATGCACACTGGTTTCTGACTGCTCACACTATAATGTCAGATATTACATTTCTCACCATGTTTCTGCTATGGCTATATTCACACAGGAAAAAGAAACAACAGAATTGATGGCTATCTTTGGCTATAAAATGAAGTAGTGGTGATTCCATCACCGTACGGTTCTTCAATACATCAATTGTAAATTGTAAATTATACCTTTAAAACTCAAGCCCTGTATTTGCGAATCCTAAGGGATGGAATAATCAAGCAAGTAGTGAAGCCTGTATTTAGTTACTGTCACCACTAATAAGCGTGAGGAATTTGCATTAGGTTATACTTATTAAAGCTCTTTTGTGTTTCTCTTTCTTAAGCTTGTTATAGTCGACCCTATAATTCGATTCCCATTCCAGGTTTTCTGCATCACTACCAGCACTCCCACCCAAACAAGAAAACTTGGCTGAATTCCCTGGATTGTCCATTGTACCAGATGTTATGTCCTTCCTACAGCATGAACTGGTGTCAGGGTGATCTGAACATAAGCTCAAAAACTGCAGGCTTTTGTCTTTGGCTATAAAAGCAACTTTTATTTAAACAGAATTTTGACTTGGGAAGCCACAAGTTCGCAATTTAATTCTCATGTTCTCAGTAACTATATCAAAACACCCAGTGACATTTTCAATCTATAGGCGAGAAATCCTTCATACTGTTCATTCTAGTGACTGTGGCAATGTGCGTTAATTATAACAACAACAAGATTCCATTTATAGAGCGCCTTTCATGTCGGGAGGACATCCCAAGGCGCTGTACAGTTGGGTCAGGACCCGAGCAAGGGGGAAATGGTCAGGGTGAGGGGAGGGAAAGGAGGGAGCGAGGAGGGGTAGAGAGTCGAGAGGGGAGCTGAAGGCACTGTCAAAGAGAAAGGTCTTGAGACCGGCCTTGAAGGAGGAAAGGGAGGAGGCGGCGAAGGCACTGGGGGATAGAGTTCCAGAGCCAAAGCTGAATGGCTATGTCAGCGCTTATCACTGTCTGCATCATTCTACTTTGGGAATGATTTTCTTACCCCTGATTCTGTTTACTTGCTCACTAATGTGTGTCATGGCCAGGATTATTGTGACTTTCTTCAAAACTGATAGTACCTCCACTGTTACATTCATGCAATTACTTTAGAAAAGAAGAAATAGTTTCCATTGGTGATGACACCTTATCATGTCAAAATGTCTTGAAGTGCTTTTACAGTAAATTGCTGTCAAGTTTTGTGTCCTGCTTTCTAGGTGAAACACACAAACGTTTTGACAGCAAAGTCCCACAACCAATCTAGAAAATTGTTAATTAGAAGAAAATCCCTTTTTTTGAGTAGTGTCTTTGGATCTTTAACATCCACCTGAAATCAAGCAGGCAGGATGTCAGTTTACCAACTCCGAAAGATGGAACCTTTAACCGAGTAGCACTCCCTCAATACTGCAATTTGAATTTCAACCTAGACTATGATCTCAAATCCCAATGTGGGGCTGGAATCCATCACTTTTTAATCCAGAGGCTAGAATACTATAAACTGAGCTGAGATATTTCATTATGTTAGCTGGAAATATTAAAATTTTACGGAAGGATGTAAGAATCTTATCAACTTGCAATTTTGTTTTCCCAGGAACATTGAAACCCATCCGATCCGAACATTTGAAAGCTGTAACCAATGATGACAACACTAGCAACCGAACCGTAATATTTACTGTGGTTGATGCCCCCAAACTTGGTAAACTGGTTAAAATTAAAGCTGGCAACATGACCCATGAAGTAACCAGTTTCACACAGGACATGGTAAGTTCTGTACCAAGGTACAGTATTTAGTTTTAGTATGTCTAATCAATTAGATACACTTGCATAAACGTATCTCTTTTTAAGATACACAATGAATCATTTGCACTCATTTCACATTTTGATTGCATTGAAGCGCTTGTCCTCTCCCGCATCACACTCTGTGAACCTGTCATCCCATTCTCGATCAGCTCTACCGGCTCCCCATACTCCAGCACAACAACAACAACAAAGTTACATTTGTAAAGCGCCTTTCACGTCGGGAGGATGTCCCAAGACGCTGGACAGACAGAGTTATGGAGCCGAGCTGGGGGTCGGGCTGGGAAGCAGGTGGAGGGTGAGGGGGAAGCACGGAGATCAAAAGCATGGTTGAAGAGGAGGGTCTTTAGGTGGCAAGGGAAGGGACCAAGGCGGAGGGACTGCAGGACGGAGTTCCAGAGGGTGGGGGCAGAGTGGCAGAAGGCCCGCCTGACAATAGTGGAGCGAACAAGGCGGGGGCCGTGAAGCAGGCCGGAGCGCGCTGAGTGGAGAGAGTGAACAGGATGGTAGGAGGTTGGAGAGGTGAGAGGAGCAAGACCGTGGAGGGCTTTGAAGCTGAGGACCAGGATCTTGAACTAAATAATAATAATAATCCTTGCATTTGATATAGCACTTTTCACGTCTTCTCGATGTCTCAAAGCGCTTCACAGAATAGACTAAAGTGAATTGACCGTATATTTGTGGACTGTGTGTTGGGAAGCCAGTGGAGTTGGGCAAGTATGGGGGTGATCAGGTCGCGGAGCCTGGTGTGGGAGAGGACACGGGCTGCAGAGTTCTGGATGATCCGCAGCCTGTGGAGGGAGGAGTTGGGGAGGCTGACAAGCAATGAGTTTGCATAGTTGAGGCTCGATGTAATGAAAGCGTGTGTGAGGGTTTCGGTGGCCTGCGGTGTGAGACAGAGTCGGAGCCGTGCGACGTTGCGGATGTGGGGGAAGGCAGAGTGGGTCATGGCACAGATGTGGCGTAGAAAGGATAGTTGAGGGTCAAACAAGACCTCAAGGTTCTGGACTGGCTTAGCAAGGTGGGGTGTGCAACCACGGATGGTGATGCTGTCAGTGCCTGAGGTGAGGAGGCGCTGATGGGAGCCAATCAGGAGAGCCTCGATCTTGATGACGTTCAACTGAAGAAAGTTAGCTCTCATCCAGGACTGATGTCTAACAGACATTCTGTCAGCACAGCCGTGGATCAAATTTAAGATCCCTATTCTCATCTTTAATTCTCTCGCTCCACTCTACCTCTACAACCTCCTACAGCCCAACCGACTCAGTCTCTCCCTTTGCTCAGTGAACACTGACCTGTTTCATGTCCTTTGCCCTGTTCTCCCCCACCATTGGCAGGTGAACTTTCAGTCATTCTGCCCGATCTGTGGAACTCCACTCCTCCCAGTGTGAAAGGCGCTATATAAATTGATTTGTATAAAAAAACTGTTGTTTTCAATCTGCTTCTCTGACATTTTTCTCTTTTACTCTTCTCTCTCTGCCTCCTTTTTCTCTCTCTGAGTCCCTCCCTCCCAAAGCCTTTCTAACTTTTTATTTCTACAATATCGATCTCTAATGTTAAACTGCACAGTATCAAAATGTAAAGATTACTTTCGCAACCAGCAAATGATATGTGGAAAGATTTTTACTTAGGAAATTGCCTTTCTGCCCTGATGATTTCTGCCACTTTAGTTCCATAATACAGCATTAGATTATTGTTAACAATCATAATAACCCTTGTATTTGATGTGGCGCTTTATTACGTCGTCGAGACGTCTCAAAACCCTTCACGGGATATACTGTAAAGTGGAGTGACTGTATTTTGTGGGCGAAATTAAATTAGATGAAATATTTAAGATAAATAATATCGCCAAGGTTAATATTTTTTCAAAAAAAGCCTATAGAGGGGAAAATGAAGATAAATGAAAGATAGAAATTACCAGTAATTACACTAATTTGGATATACACATCTTGAATAATTCATATGCATGATGTCCGTCAATCCAACAACACCTTGCATTCATATAGTGCCCTTCACAAGGGCTATACATTATTGAACCAGTTTATTTATATAACATGGATCATTTAACTTGCTCTATTTAATCAGTTCGTCATAAGAAGTTTAAAAAGTCTTGCGGCCTGTTTAAAATTTATCTTGTTTGTCTGGGCACATATTGATTTCTCCCTTTATTTTTCCAATATAATTCAAAGTTGAATGTTTTGGTCTGGGGTTTCGGTATTTTTGAATTGTGCCAAAATACACAGATATCCTGCTGCTAATAACTGTATCAAATCCACCAAAATTGTAAGTCTTTGCGGGGTGGCTATAAAAAAAAGTGAAATCGACCCCTAAAGAAGATTGTTAATGAAAGGATTCAAATCCAAACAATTTCTTTTAATTTTATAGATTTCATTAGACAATCCACCAAATTGAAAATCTTCATGACATGACTGTAAAAAGGTGAAACAGATCCCTTTTGTTAATAGAGAAATGCAAGAACCTTGAGTAATGTTCATTCTGTCTTAACATGTGCAGTTGGTTCATACCAGGGCCAGATTTATCAATCAGGTTTCTGTTCCCATTATGTTCTAACGTGATCCAGGTTCTCAGAAATCATACTTGCAAAGGCTATGAGAAATCTGTGGTCAATTTAGCTGATCAATTGATTGAAACTGGAAAAAAATCTCTGATGGAAAAAATAATGTCTTTCACGGAACGATCCAAATACAATACAAATTTGCACTTATTTAGTGTCTTTCATGTCGGGAGAACATCCCAAGAGATTTGATGGAATGTTAAACTTTCGTAGATATTAACGAATATTGGAAAATATGAATTGTGGGTCTTTTTAACCTTGTTGAAATGTCGGTATTACCTATATGTATTGATTCTGTAGAGATTTATTTTAGTTTCAGCATTTGAGCCATGTGGAGCCCTGTAGCGCTCGCCTCACAAGCGAGAGGACCTGGGTTCGATTCCCAGGCAGGGCGAAACGGTGGGCAAGTTCCCTCACTCCACACGCCTGTTTACCCACCAATAAGTAGGAAACTGGTTGTTAGTCAATCGGTAAGTCGCTTTTCCAGGGGTAATAATCCCTTTAAAAATATATAAATAAATGAAATTAATTTGGTCACTCGATCCGTGATTGTTTGTGGGACACGAGTGCACAATTGGCTGCCACGTATTACCCAGAAAATAAACAGTCGATTCACTTTATAGTGTATTCTGTGAAGCGCTTTGAGATGTCCAGAAGACGTGACAAGGTGCTATATCAAATATTATATAGGGAGGAGCTGGAGAGTCTGTCAAGCAGAGCCTCAGAATAATCAAGCCTGGACCTCATAAAGAATTAATCAGCATGTTGTGCAAGTGTTGTGTTCTTGCAGTACAGTTGAATGTTGTCTATATTGATGACAAGGAACACAAATTTAGCCAACTGTTCCCCAAATAAAAATGGGCACTAATTCCATGGCTATTTGTAGAATGTTGGTTTATGCAAATTGGCACAGTTAAAGCACAGTCATAGTTTGTGTTTTAATCCCAGCTTTACAGATTTGTTGACTGCTCCACTGAATATTTCTGTTCCTTTATTTTTTTTCCCAAAATGTTGTAACTGGCCAAAAGCACAGACTCTCAAAAAAAAGAGATGATCTGATTTTTTTTACTGTAGTAACTCATATTTATTTTACTGTGCTACTGACTGTCTTGGGGAAAAGATTGAAAAATCTTTTATATCAGTAATCGATACTTACAACTTTTTGTTGTAATTTTCAGCATTTGAAATAAACTGCAGCATTGGTCCTGTATCTGTCAGATAACTGGCTGGATGTTCTATTTTCCTCCCTTGATTTTATATAGGTGGAAAAGGGTTTGATCGCATATGAACACATGCAGACGGAAGCCGCAGACTGGAGTGTTGAGGACTCCTTTCAGTTTACAGTGTCCTCCCCACCGGCTTCGTTGGAACCCCATGTGTTTCATATCAGCATTTCATATGACAACACTGGGCCAGAGAGACACAGTCTTCTTGTTGCTAATACAGGTAAGAATATATCCATTTACAGTAAACCATATGCTACAAAGCAAATTTCCCTTGCTTTGGGGGATTCTTTCTGACATTGCTTGTGGTTACTGAGACAATGATTATGACTTGGTGCAGTTCTATTTATATGCTTAGGTAGAGGGGCTTCTAAATATTTGATGAAACAGGTTAAAATGGAACATTTCTGAACGGCTTTGTTTAAAATTCACAAAGCTGGGATGATGTAGCTTTGTAAATTAGAAGAGACAAAAGAATTCTGCCTCATTCGTCCAACCTGGGGAAGTCATGGAACATTGACTTCTTCAAAGGGTTGATGTCTGTCCTTAGCACACAAGCTCTCCAAGCTTCCCTTCATATTAGGCTTCAGTGTTGATGCACACAGCAACTATTTTTGGCAGTTATCTTACTATTGCTCCACTCTGGTATAAAGCACTTCAAGCTTGTGCTTTTCTCAATCAGTGTTTACAGTTCATAAATTAAAAAGCTCCATTGGTAGTTTAAATAATGTTTGAAAGTATTTGTACTCCAGTCTTTCAGAGCCTTGAGACATCCTCCCAATGTATAAGGCACTGTATAAATACAACAACAACTTGCACTTGTATAGCGCCCTCCGCGCAGGATAGAGTCTCAGAGCACTTAACAGTGGTGGAGCCTGACTCTGAGCCGGGGGGTGGGGGGATGGGAGGTGGCCCTATGCGCGGTCGAAGAGGAAGGTTTTCAGGTGGGACTTGAAAAAGGAGAGAGGGGGGCCAAGGCAGAGGGATTGAGGGAGAGTGTTCCAGAGTTTTGGGGTGTAGTGGCTGAAAGCATAACCTCTATGGTGGGGCAGAGGGTGAGAGGGATGAGCAGGAGGCTGGTACCAGTCGAGTGGAGGTGCCAGGTGGTGGATTGGGGAGTGAGGAGGTCGGAGCAGTAGGTGCCAAAGAATGAAGGGATTTGAACACAAGTGTGAGGATCTTGAAGTCGATTGTTCGGTGATGGGGAGCCAGTGAAGCCTGGCCAGAAATGGTGAGATGTGGGTACAGAGTTTGGTCCGGGTCAGTATGCGGGCGGCAGAGTTCTGAATGAGCTGGATCTTTTGAATAGTGGAGCTGGGGAGACCGGCGAGGAGTGTATTTGAGTAATCTAATCACAAACGCATGCACGAGGGTTTCGGCTGCATTTGGGATATGGTATGGTCGGAGGCGGTCAACATCAACAACAAATGAATTTGTTGTTGATGTTGTTGTCTTGTAAACTCTAGATAAAAGTGGAGTTTTGTATAAGCTGGAGCTTGTGGCTGGTAGAGTTGGAAATCTACTGAAGGGTGTGTTTGAGAAATCTAATTGCATAATAAAGGTGTGAATGATGGTTTTGGTAGCATTTTGTGTGGAATAGTGACGAAGGTGAAGATCAAGAGTTTTTGAAGATCAACATCTTCAAAGTCATGGTTAGGGATGGAATGTGAGGAAAAAATGAGAGCTGAAGATGAAGCCAGGTGTTGGTGCAGTGGTTTGGTGAGTTTGAGGCTAGGGTGATTGAGGAGATCAGAGCCAGAAGGCATTGGTGAAAGCTCAGTTGGATGACTTCTAACCTGTCCATGTTGAGCTACAAGAAATTGAGGGCATTGAGGTCTTGATGTTTGACAGGCAGGTGGACAAAATATTGTTGGACCTGGAATCCAAGGCAGAAGCTGACAATCGATTTGGGTGTCATCTCAACCCATGTGGAATGTAACCCTGTTGTTTGTGCCTGATGCCACTAAGAGGGAGGGAGAAGGTATATAAGGAAAAGGACAGAATGGAGAATAGAGCCCTGAGGAACTCTGCAGGTGACAAGGGCAGGAGGAGAAACATTAGAAGAAAAATGGAGGCAATGGGTTAAGTTGTATTGGAACCAGAACAATGCAGTTCCACAGAGGTGGATGAGAGAAGGGAGGCAACTAAAGAGAATGGATTGATCAACCATGTCAAAAGCAGCAGAGAGTTCAAGTAGGAAGGGAAGGCAGAGGGAGCCCGGTGGCAGAAAAAGAATATGTCAAACATTGAATGCTGACTGAAAAAGCTGTATATAAATTACATGGTAATTGTTTGAAAGGAAACAGACCATAGTATGGGAAGGAGCTAAGGGACAGGAGTTGCATCTGCTCTTTTTATTTTTATCATGAATTTTTAATGAGTAATTTTCCAGAAAATGTAACTGAAAATTTGACTCATGCAGTGTTGCTTGAATGGTTTTGGAAAAGTCCCAAAGCAAAACAGTGCAAAGAATGTTTTCTTTTTCAGACATATTTAGATAAGAAGCAGAAGTAAAGATGGAATGAGACGAAGTGATTTGGTCAATCTTTTTCCTGCCACAACAGTGTGCTTTCTTTCCTATTCTTTCTTCCCCCACTTCCGCCACATTGCCCACCTCCACCACTACCTCTCCCCTCAGGCTGCAGAAACCCTCAACCATCTTTTTATTATGTTCAGGCTTGACAATGTTAATTCCCTCTCCCTGGACTTCCCAACACTTCCCTCCACAAACTGCAGATTATTCAGAACTCTATAGCCATATTATCTTCCCATATTAAGCTCCGTGAGCCAATCACCCCCTCCTCCTTGCCCAGCTTTACTGGCTTCCCCTCCTCCCAATGGATTGAGTTCAAGATCCTCATCCTCACCTTTAAAGCCCTCCACTTTTAAAGCCCTTCCCTACCTCTACGACCTACTATAATGTTATCGAACTGTCCATTCCCTCCACTTGCCGGGCATTGGCCTGCTCCACCATCAGCGGCCTTCAGCCTTCTGACCGCCCGCTGGAATTCCATCCCAGAGCCACTCAACCCTCCCCCTCCCTTGCTTCCTTCAAGTCCCGTCTTAAGAAATTCCTCTTCAACCGTGCTTTCTGTCATCTTCCCACCTCCACCCCAACCCCTCCTTGCCCTTCATCCCTCTTGACTCCCAACTCCCAGCTCGAGTGCAAACCCTTCATTGTTCAGCAGCTTGGGACGTCCTCCCGATGTCAAACACGCTATATAAATGCAATTTTTTCTTGTTGTTGTTGTGGACTGTGGACCATCTATTCAGTTTCCTGAGTTCTGCATAGATCTTCTTAGTTAAATGTTAAAAACGTGGAAAAGTACAACATTTATTTATCTTCAGATCTGGCAAGCTACCTTAAAGAGACAGCAAATCCCTTTTTCTATTTCCGCTAGCAACATAGATCATCCTTATTATTGTCAAATCATGGCTCAACCTGAAATGTAACCATTCTTTTTGAAGGAGCTTTAGGGCAACCCAGTTACATTGACCCAGTATTTCAGGCTCCATATTATAAGCAGACGCAAACGCTCACTCCATATGCAAACCGTGGACTTCATTTGCGCAGTGACATCAGAGACACTTCCTGTGCATGCGCACTATGCGCAAGCATGCTGTTCTTTTACACACATCTGAACGCAACAAGTGACTTCTGAGTGACCTGATAACTCGGAAGTCAGACATTCTTCAGTGCAGAATGCTGGGTGTACTGAGCTTCCATTTTAAGTCCCGTCTCAAATGCGCCTATGGCCATCTCCCTCTCCTTCCTGTACCTTGCTTGGTGTCCAACCTTGTCACTGTGAAGCTCTCTGAGACGTTACCTTATGTGAAGGGCGCTATATCAGTGAAGTTGTTGTTCTGGTTGAAGGCAAAAATCTCTTCATGAGCTGATTATAAAGCATATATTTTCTTTCACACACCACAGGGTTAACTTTGTATCTGACTGTTTTATGATGAGGTCTCACACAGTTGTATTTATATAGATCCCATTGAGTTGCCCTGTAATGGGCATCAAGTGCTCTTTCTAGCTGAATAAAATTTATCCCAATACAGAGTTGAGGGTAGAGAGGTGGCTCATTTGCTGGTTGTTAATTTTAGATGTGCGTTGCCTAGTTCTGCACTTGCATTCCAATTCAAAAGCTAAATCATCTGACCCTCTTAACACTTCAAATACCTGACTCATATTCCCTCTCAACATTTCTAATCTCAGTGGAAACGAGTTCAGATCTGTGAATCGCTTCTCATAATTTAAGGCTGTAAATCCCCAAATAGAGTAGATTATAATACTTCTTACTTTAAAAATTTGAAGACGAAAAACTGAAGTATCCTTTAACGTGAACAAGTAAGTCAGTAATCCACTTCTAAATTGTAGATTTTAAAAAGAGAAAAAAATCACAAATATTGTAATTTTCCCACCTTCTTAAAGTCTGCTATTTCAACAAAACGATTAAGGAGCTATATATCAAATGCAAGGATTATTATTTCTTTCTTTAATTCTTTTCGTGTTTTTGGTGAACTATCTGACACGTTGATACCCATCACCATGCTTAGGAGTATCCAAACCAAACTGATAGTTCCCACCTACACATGGAAATTCCAGAGGCGTTTATTGGAATGGAAATGTGCACCGAAGTTTAAACTTCAATGGACTGTGTACAGGTAGAGGTGCTTAACATTCCTGCAACTTATCTTAGAATGTTATCAACTTATCTTCCCTTTTATAGATTTTATAACCTCTTATTTTTAAAGTAATGAGATAGAAGAGCATAACAAATGACTGACAATAAAAGTGTCTGTGTATGTTTAAAAAAAGTAGGAAAGGAAGTATAGCTGGGCTGGCTGACCACATGCATGGTACAACTTTACAACTTTAACTTGTGGTTAATCAAATGAACAGAAAAGTGACTTTTAACTGCTGGTTGAAACGCAGCCCACACCAATGAAATGAAATTTCCATTCTTTAATCAAAATTGAAATGTAAAAATTCAGTTTTCTGCTTATTACTGACTGTATCGTAGTGCAAGACTGATCCTTTAATGTTATTATTATAAAAACAAATTGTTCAAAGCTCTTGCACACAAGAACTTTTAATGTACTACAAGAAAGCGATTCACACCTTGTGCATTTATAAAGCATGGGTCCAAATTGCAAAGATCCTGAAGCCTGTTGCTGTCTCACACGTATGGCAGTGAAATACTCTCAAAATTATGACCAATAAGACTGTATAAACACAACTGTGAAACCTCATAATAAAACCGATCACAGTCAGATATAAAGTTGATCTGTGAAAACAGATGCTCTATAATCAGTTCAAGAAGATATTCTTGCCTACTTGGCATGAAACTGACTACCTGCTCCCTCGACCCCATCCCTACCCCTCTCCTTACCTCCCAGCTCCACCTCCTTGCCCCTCTACTCACAGATATCATAAACCTCTTCCTGGACCCATGTCCACTGGCACTGTTCCCACCCCATTAAAAATGGCCGTCAACACTCCTATCCTCAAAAAACCCTCCCTGTGTTCTGTGTTCTCAAACTACCGCCCCATCTCCAACCTCCCTTTCCAAGGTCCTGGAACAAGTTGTTGCTTCCCAGCTTTGCTCCTTCCTCTCCCTCCGCTCCCTTCACAAATCCCTCCAATCGGGTTTCCGTGCCACCCACAGCACAGAAACAGCCCTGCTCAAAGTGACAAATGACATTCTGTCCATCTGCAACCCTCTGCCTCCTCATCCTCCTTGACCTCTCTGCTGCCTTCGACACCGTTGACCAGTCTATCCTCATCCACCGCCTCTCTCACCTCAACCTTCATGGCTTTGTCCTTGATTGGTTCAGATTGTACCTCTCACACCACCTCCACTTCATCTCCACAAACGGTTTCTCCTCTAGCCCCCGGACCGTCTCGTGCAGCGTTCCTCAGGGCTTCGTCCTTGGTCTCCTCCTCTTCAATATCTATATGCTCCCTTTTGGTGACATCATCCGGAGACATGGGGTCAACTTCCACATGTATGTGATTGACACCCAATTGTACCTCTCTGTCTCCATCCCTGACTCCAGGACCACTGCTGTCCTGACAGAATGTCTGTTAGAGCCAATATTCTTCAGTTGAATGTCAACAAGACCAAGGCTCTCTTGATTGGCTCCCATCAGCATCTCAACACCCCAGGCGCTGACAGCATCACCATTCATGGATACACACTCCACCTTGCTAAGCCAGTCCGGAACCATGGCGTCTTGCTTGACCCTCAACTATCCTTGCCCTACCATCGGTGGCCAAGCTTTCAGCCTCTCTGCCACCACACTCTGGAACTCCATCCCACAGTCCCTTCACCTCGCTTCCTCCCTTGCCTCCTTCAAGGCCGGTCTCAAGACCCTCCTCTTGGATTGTGCCTTCAGTCGCCCTCCCACCTCTCTGCCTTCCCTCCCCCCTCCCCCACCCTTTCCCCATGCCTTGGGATGTCCTCCCGATGTGAAATGTAGTTTTGTTGTTGTTGTTCTACCCCACATCTGTGCCATGACCCCCTCCGCCTTCCCCCACTTCTGCAACATTGCCCGGCTCCACCACTGTCTCACACCGCAGGTTGCCGAAACCCTCATACGTACATTCATTACATCGAGGCTTGACTATGCAAAACTCCTGAGGTTCCATTAAAGGAGAGTGGAGAAAGCTCCACACTGCATCTGGAACTCGGCAAAGCCAGTCTGGCAGTGTCCAATGGGATAGTTGAGAGATGGCAACATTTGGCCTTCAGATGCAAGTTAACCTAATTGCAAGACCTGGGTTAGGAACGAATGGGTTGTAGAATTATTCAGAAGGATGTGTACTGATCTCCTGTTAATTCATTAGATCCAAAAAAAACACTTTCAGTTGTAAAGTGTACAGCATTCTATATCATATACATTTTAAGTGCTTTGACTTTTTGCTAAGTTATTGGTATGACGTACCACATTTAAGAGAGATTTGAGACATATTTTATTTGGAACTCAATTAGGTAAGCTTTTTGGTTTCTCTTAAACCTTAGTGATTTATTCTGTAGCCAACAAAGTCTTACAGACAAAGAAGGTCCCAAGATTGATCTTCCATCTGTGCTGAATTAGCATTTTTCAGTGTTAGGGAAGTGAAAATCAGCCAAGATTTCTATTCCTAATTATTTTGCAGCAACTGAGGTACAAAAGGGTGAATGGTATTCATGTAACTGTATGCAAGTGGGGGGAAAAAGAGGGAAAAGATGTCTGCAGAATATTGTTCACATAAATGTACAATTTTACCTGCATTTTCTGGCATTGTGCGGTAAAGCTTAAATTAACATAGGATGTTTTATTTTAGTCTTTGTTTTCTACAATAGGTGCTATCGTTACAGAAGGTGAAAGAACACAAATCGATAAATCCAAGCTGGATGCTTCAAACCTAATGGTCAAACTTCCAGTATCCCAGCGTTCAGCATATGAAGTATGGTATCAAGTGGCTTCCTTGCCTACCCACGGCGTGATTGTTGTTGGTGAGCGTAACATAACCAAGCAAAAACCCAATTTTTCTCAGTTTATTATTAATAAGTATGGAATCACCTATGTACATGACAATTCAGAGAGTCTTCGGGATAATTTTACCTTTGCTGCATGGTTGAACCTGAAGAGCAAACCAGCATTAAGGCCTCTGAATGATAGTGGAGTGGTCGAAGAGATGTTCAATATCACTATTATTCCCATCAATGACCAAGCTCCAGAACTGAAGACCAAAGCTCCTATATTGAGAGTAGTGCAGGGTTACAATGCACAATTCAGTACAGATATTATAAATGTGGTTGATTTAGATAACCCACCAGAAGAAATCAATTACACTATTATCAGTGGTCCCAATAATGGCTTTGTGGCAATGGCAGAGAGCTTGAATGTGTCAATCAAGCACTTCACACAGGCCAATATCAACAATGGCAACATTTGGTTTGTTCAAGATGGGAGTTCGTCATCTGGTGTTTTCTATTTTAGTGTCACCGATGGCAAACACCGCCCTTTATATAAATTGTTTAATTTAGAAGTTATACCTATCACAATCATGCTTGTAAATAACACTCATCTAGCAGTGCTTCAGGGGCAGAGCATCTTTACTGTCACCAACAAACACTTGGCTGCTGAAACAAATGGGAAAAGTACAGTGATAAGTTATCAAATTACAAGCCCTCCACAGTTTGGACATGTTTCAATTGGAAATAGAACTGTAACTCTGTTTGATCAGGAAGACCTTGTGCAAAGCCGCGTGGTTTATCATATGACAGACCTCTCCGTCTCGCAGGACAGTTTTGAGTTCACAGTGATGACCTCTGAAGGTAATGCGACAGCGCAGGTGGTTAACATCACAGTGAAACCTTTAATAAAAATGGCAGAAGACCTGAAGATTCCCACTAGGACCACTTTTCAGTTTGGAAGGGATGTGCTGGATGCAAGTGAATTGGCTAACCAGACTGGGAGTGTCCCCGTGTTTGAAGTGAAACAATTACCAACCTATGGTACATTTGTGAAATTAGCCCATGCCTTCCGAGGTCGGAGAGAGGCTGCAATAACTTTTACTCAGAAAGACATTGAACTAGGACTTGTACTGCTTGAGGTGAATGCCAATATGACTGGAATAGATGTACTGATCGACTCCTTCACCTTTGTTTTGACTGCAGATAGTGTGCAACCAGCTGAAGCTATGCTAGTTTACAGCATTGTTCCCTTTAATGCTTCTCTAGTGCAAAATATCACAATACCTGAAAACCCACTAGTTTCCAGTTCAAATGCTACAAGTGAATTGCCTAAATCAGGAGAGTTACCTTTGGAGATCCAAACAGAGGTACCCACTCAAACCACTGCTAAAATCAAGCCATGGTGGCAAAAGAAATCTCGCTGGGGAAGTGATAAAAGCAACACCTCCATTTCGGCTCCTGATATGACACTGGCAAGCATTGTACAACAGACCATAATTGAACCACTCAATGGAAAGCCTGTAGCCCAACCAATTAAGAACTCTGACTCTCTTAGCATTATTCTACCCTTTGTTGTTGTGGCCTTTGTGCTCATTATTATCATTGGTGTCACACTTTTTGTGAAAAGACAGAAGAAAAAGCACAAACCTCTGATAAATAACTGTCCTAATAATGGCGCATCAAGTGCTCCAAGTTTTCAGCCAACAGAAAGAAGCATGACTGTTCCAACAGTTACAGTTACCCGCCTTGATAAAGGCCCATCTAGTCCGTCACCAATGGAAAGACATACACAAATGTCGACGACAGCCTCTGAATCAAAGCAAACCTCAACTCTACTTTATAATTGTAACTCGATTGACCCTGACATGGTGCAGCACTGTCGCACGACCAATCCGACCTTGAGGCAAAATCAGTATTGGGTATAACAACAAGCCAATCTGCTTCATTTCTGCACTCATGCCAGGTTACGATACACAGACAAACTGCTGACACAACCTCTTTTAGTGTTCATTTTCAGAGTAAAATTCAGAAACCGAAAAGAACATTACACAGCATTGTTTTGGGACAATTAAACTTGTTTATTATTTTACTAATTTTCATCAATGTCATCAAAAAAATGAATCGTCAAAGATTATTTAAAAAACACAAGGCCCTGGGTTTCTGAATTTGTGCATACAAGTCGACTATAATTGCCCTTATGCATTTGATAGAGAATCAAAATGTTCAAATTCTTCAATGCACTTTACAATAATTACAGTTAAGGGTAGTAACTGTACTTGTATGTGGATGCAGCAGCCAATTTTTGCACAGCAATATTCAACAAACACTCAGGAGGTCAGTGTCCAAGTTGCCTGGAAAAGTGTTGGCCAGGACAGCTGGAGAAACTTCCCCTCCTTTCAAATCGTCCCATGGGATCTTCAGAGTCAACTTCAACGATTAGACTGGACTCCAGTTTAACGTCACATTAAAGAAAGCAGAAAATGTTCTTTTGATGCATCTGCCCAGATAGTGAGATCAAAGTCCACAATGAGAGGCATGAACACACAACCTTCATCTAGAAGCCTAAGTGCTACCAACTGAGCCTCACTGACCAATTTCTCTCAACATGTTGCTATTGTTGCTTTTGTCTCACTTCACACCGAATGAAGCTGAAACTCTTATCCACACTTCTTTCACCTTCTGCCTCAATTTCTCCAATGCCCTCCTCACCCATCTCCTCAGCTCCACCATTTGTAAATTCCAATTGGTTCAAGATTCGTGCCAAACTCCATGCCCCCATCACCCATATCCTTCCCAGGCTTCACTGGCTCCGTGTTGCAGAGCAGATAGATTTCAAGATCCTCACACTCACTTACAAATAGCTTCATGCCCCATCACCTCCCTACCTTTCTGATCTGATGATACCCCAATATTCCGCCCCCAACCCCGCTCCACAACCGTTCTCATGACGAACGCTATATAAATGCAAATTGTTTGATGTTGATGTCCCCACCACAAAGGAAAGATATGGGCCATTAATTTTGCTGATACAGTGCATTTTATACATCACCTATTTCACATAACACATTAATGTTACTTGGTTTCCATTGTGTTTCACTTAACTCTTGTAATAATAATGGCAATGAAATTAAGACTGGTGATATTACATCCCCTCCCATCTTGTGTCTTGCTTTTACATTATGCTTTTAATATGCTAACTGTCTTCAGGGTATGATTGTGTTGTTTGGAGTAACTTAAACTTAAAACTTTTATTTAAATATTGAATGGTGTGTTTAATTAAAACATTTCCAGTATTAGTTATTCCAATGTAGACTGTAATGCAATACAATACATCCTCCTCCCTCGCCTCCTTCAAATTCTGCCTTTTTATCTGCACTTTCGGCCATCGCCCTCCCCACCCCAATCCCCTTCGCCCCCTGCCCCCATGCTCAGCTGCAAACTTTAGACTGTCCAGCATCTTGGAATGACCTCCTAATGTAAAAGGTGTTATATAAATGTAAACTTGTATTGTAATATGCAGATGAAAGTTAATGAACTCTACCAAACCCATAATTCCAGCACTAAAATTTCTCTTTTATATCCTATTTTTAAAAAGACAGTTGTCAGACCTACCTAATGTCATTTGGAAAGGTTTGTGTTGTCCTTGGTTGTTGCAGAATTAAAATGTTCTAAAAGACTTAGTCATAAGATGGAAAATTGCACCTTAGCAGCTGCATTTTTTTATGAAGCAAATGTTTCTCCAAGATGTTTTTAAACAAGGGCCAAAAATTGTTAACTACAAAGTATTGCTGATGATCTCCTTGCTTACAATATAGTGACTAGGAATTTCCTGTTTAGACCATCATGATGATGGGGGAAATATTTTGCCACAACAAGACTAGAAAATACTGCCTTCAATATGTTATCAACATCCAAACATGTTTTTAACCATAATAAGTGTTCATGTCGTATAAACACATTAATCTCCAACTATTGTATTACAGTCTTGTTCAAAGTAAACTACTCCGCATCTCGTTGTAAAATGAAACACAATACCGCTGCAGTTAAGATCACATAACTTAGTTACAAGAACCTGCCAGTAAGGATTTGCCTTGCTCCTAGCTCAGGGCTACAGACACACAGCAAATACAGATCCAGAAGTGGAAGGAAAGTTAGGAACTTTTATTAAGTATTTCTGTGAAAATTAAAAAACTTTTCTGAGATTATTGGAGAATAGCTTCATTGAAGAACTCAATGCAACAGTCTTACTTCCCGTACCACAGAATATTACAGCAAGGAAAGGGGTCATTCGGTACATTCAGATTACACCGGTGCTTATCTCCACATGAGCCACCTAATTTAATACCATCTCCTGTCCGTTCAACTTGCCTTTTGATATTCTTGCTTTTCAAATATCTCATTTGTTTTTTAAAGAATTTCTGGCCTTTGTTTGAACCACAATAACATTGCAGAGCTCCCCCCACCCATCTACCCCACCACCTCTTTACATCAGTGGAACTGATGTACTGACAGACTGGGCTTTGACACAACTCATCAACCTATGCACATTTTTATCTTATGTTACCTCCCCTGTGAACATGAAGCTCATCTTAGTTACAGGTACAGTAGGATATTTCAAACTTCCAAATTGTGGAACTATTTTTATAAGGTCTCTAAAATTGCATTCCATCGCTATTCACTGAAATACCGAAAATATCCATTTGCTATATTCGTTTGCTACAGTTTGAGCTTTTAGAATTCCAGCCGAAACTATTGAAATTAACATTTAGTATAATTGTGAGTACTCTATAAGTTAAGAAAACATTTATTTTCAATAGTTATAACTTTGTAATCTATAATACCATATCTGAACTTGCCTGGAACTTTGCTGCCCCATTGTTAATCAGTTGCTAGAACAGAGCCTTGGGATGTCCTCCCAACGTGAAAGGCGCTTTACAAATGTAATTTTGTTGTTGTTGTTGTAGATTAAAGTAACTATTAAGCAATTGGTTAATTAGATAAATAAGTAGATCTGAGAGTCCCAGTGGTGGTACAGGTGATGATGGTTGCAGAAATGATTGAATGGGAAAGTTAATTAATATGCAAGTCAGTTTCACTGCTGAATTTTTACCTTGAATACCAAAGATTAGACAGTATTCTACTTAATACACAACCCTTTCGTCTCTGCTGTGGCTCAGATTTGAATCCATGCCAGAACATTTCAGTTAATGTTTCTTTGTTTTTATAGCTGCTCGGATTCCAAATACAATACAAATTTACATTTATATAGAGCCTTTCGCGTTGAGAGGATGTCCCAAGTGAAATTAGAATAATGGTCCCAATTTGCTTCACAATGAACACAAATCCATAGCTCAAAATAACAGTTTATTTATCTTGTACCTTTGCTACACAGAAAGGCGAGGTATACATTGCTAGACAGGCTTGGTGATTATTTGGTTTGAATACTGCGTGTTATAATAATAATCCTTGCATTTGATGTAGCACCTTAACACATCATTGAGACATCTCTAAGCGCTTCACATACTGTACAGTGAATTGATTGTATATTTTTTGGGACAAAATAGATCTTGTGTCTGTCAGAACTATTTTTAAAAGCAATATGATTTCTGACTTGCTCCATAATGGTGAATGTTGTTTGATGGTGATTTAATACAAACTGTTGTATGATTAAACACACTGCAGCCCCCTTTCATGATTGTAATAATGATAGCATCTGGTGCCCAGAGGAGCAGCGGTTGCAGTCTACATAACATCCAGATGGTATCAGAAACATAATGTGGAATATGAACTATTTCTTCTCCAAAGGTTTGGTTCTTTTGTACAGTTATCACAGGCTCAAAAGGAAAACTTCAACCCCGCAAATGCTAAAATTAACACGTCCTGTGATTGTAATTGCTGTAGATTCACTAAGTGTAGCATGTATAATTATGAAAATCAGTATTGTAAACTCCACTGGATTAATCCCACTTTATTATACACCAAAATAATCCTTGATTTGATTTAATATCTTTCGCATTGGGAGTACATCTCAAAGGGCATCACAGGATTTATTGTAAAATGTAGTGATTGTGTATTTTGTGGGTGGGTTGATTACAGGACAGAAACAAAAGATTTTGTCCTTACTAGTGTCTGGGATTCCAGAATTGTAAATTACTTAAAACATTTGATAAAAGCATTGCCTAAACATTAATTTAACCCTGCACCATGTAAATGCCTTAAATGCAATATGCTTGAAAAATTATTCAAAAAAATATTTATTTATATTAATATTATATCATACTCCTTGCATTTGATATAGCGCCTTATATCGTTGAGACATCTCCAAGGTCTTCAGAAAATATAATTTGAAGTGGATTGATTCTAAACACTAAAGGGTTTGTGTACACATGTAGACTAATGAAAGTGGTATTCAATGGCTTTCTAGTGCTTTAATACATTTGATGATTTAATAAACCTTCATTTGATATAGGGCTTTTTACATCTGGACAATGTCTCAAAGGGCTTCACAGGATATACTGTAAATTGTAGTGACTATTTTGTAGACAAATTATGATTTGGATCTCTGTTGTACACCAGAATTCTACTAGAATTGTTAAACTAGGAACAAATAATTCAATTAGTTATCATGAGTCTCTATGTACACCCTACGTTTTCACATTAACTGAAGCCTCCAGTTAAACTATTTACTATTTATCATGTAAACTGAAGTTTCTTCAGTGTTTTTTTCTTTGACATCATTAAAAAGTCCCTTTGTCGTTTTTATTCAGAATATTTGGTTGGAACAATTGTGCAGATATTGTTTAGACTACTTATAATTATACAGCTTAAATAAGTTTTTTTTTTAGCTGATACAGCAATTTTTGCCAGCACAGAGCTCACAATGTTACCTTTTGTATGTTTTTAAATAAAAATGAATTGTGAAAAGAATCTGTGAAATTGACCTTTATCTTATAAAGGAGTGGGTGGAAGAGATGGGAGTGATAAGGGCGGTTACGATTTGAGCTACCATTGAATGAAGAAAAGGGACTTTTGTTTTGGTCAGACGGGTGTCTTGACACATCTTGATACATGCAGAAACCCATTGCTGTGCTTAAGCGTGTCAAATCTTGTCAGTGACTCAGTGATTAGAGGGCACCAATTTAAGATAGGTTATCAAATAATAATAATATAAAGGGAGGGAGAGAATGAGAGAACTTTTTTCACAGTTGTTCCGAAGTGGTGCAGTGGTCGAGGCAGGATCCATATTAGCTGCAGTCACTAGTATTAGAAGATCCTCCCCCTCCCCCATTGGAGCTATCTACTCATAATAGCTCTAATTTCAGTCTGGCAATTTTTACAACAAATTCTATTTACCAGAAATGTATGAATTGTCTTCAGTAGAAGATGCTCAATTATGCCATTTTTCACTGATCAACCCAACGACTCCCCAGGCACCTCCCGGAGTGAGACTAGTAATTTACTGCTGAATTATGGGCATTGTTTTCGTGTATAATTAGGAATTGGATCTTTCCAGCTGTCTGCAAGAAAACGATTTCAACCTGAGCTGGATTGAAATCCGGGGACCTATGGAAAAAAATGATAACAATATTAATCCTTGCATTTGATATAGAGCGCATTATCACGTCGTTGAGACGTCTCAAGGCGCTTTGCAGAATATATTGTAAAGTGGTTTGACTGTATTTTGTGGGTGAAACTCGGCTGCTAATTGCACACAGCAGTGTCCCACATCAGTTCTGGATTAAAGTGACCAATTTTACATTTCAAGTCTAAAAACTTTGAAAAGTATATAAACATACTTACACAAAGGATTTACCGAACGTATTCTCAACATGAGTAGTAGGAGAA